GAAGCAAAATTACTTGAACAATATCAACATGATCGAGATCTTGATGAACAAAACAAACGAGAAGTATATTAAAAAATAAAATAATTTATTATTAAAATAAATTTTTATTTCTTAATTTTTAGATGGCTATGAAAGTTGATCGGGAAGAAAAACAAAGAATAGCTGCTGTAAATACCTAACGGAAGAATGTTTTTCGCTTTCTCACAAAGAATTACTGGATTATGAGTTATCGATCATGCTGATTCCGAATATAACTCTAAGTAATCTTCTTAGGTCTTTATATGCTGGTTTTATCGAAAACTGGTTTTACAGATTAACAAACATTTTGTCAAAATCGTTTTGGATCTACTCACAACTGTACGTTTACAGTATTTTTTAAATAAATGCCATAGTCCAGAAAAAATTTATTTTCGTATTTCGACTTGAAGCTTTGCATAGAGACAGGTCTTAACTAGGATAGTTTTTGTGAATATTTCAGTTCTTGTTGCTGTTATCTATATGCAAAGTTTCAAGTCAAAATTTGAAAATCAATTTTTCTGCTACCACAGCATTCATTTAAAAAATACCGTAAAAGTGTAGTATCTCCGTAGCAATAAACTAAGGATGTGAACTCTCTTCAAGGTATTCATAGGTAATTTGGATCGATATAATGTACATAGTCTTGACTCAAAAGTGGTTGAACAGTTGGTAGACTTCCTTCGTTAAATTTTAGAGCATATCGAGTTGCCTATAAGACAATAATCATTTGTATTTGTCAAATATGAGTTATAAGTAAAATAATGTCATCTTGAAGGTTTTCATAGTAGTCGAAGTTTTCACAGTGGAATATTGTTACTTACCTGTTGTATGAATTAAAATGGCTGTAGTTTCTATTAAGAAGAACGATTTGAAACAGAAAAATTTACGGTTTTCTAAGCAATTCGATATGCTCTATAATCTGAACAGAACAAAATGTGTTTTTGACGAACAGTTTGTTATTCTGAAAAACGAGCATATAAAGACTTAAGGAGATTTTTCATCGAATCAGCATGATCAATAACTTTAATTCAATAGCTTTTGGCGAGAAAGTGATTAGTCAGTTGAAAACATTCTCTCGTAAGATTTATTTTAGTATAATTTGGGTATTGCTGAAGCAACACGAGCAAAAAAAATGGAACGACCAAAAACGAGTGATGTTCCAGTAAGTGTCTAAGTTCAAATTGAACAAAAAGAAAATCAAATATTTTTTATTAGCGTTCATTTGTATTTCGAAAACGTATTCAAACTCCTCCAACATATATTCGTCAACAAGATTTAGCTAAACAATTAGATGCACAAATAAAATGGAAACACGATGAAGAACATGCCGAAAAACAAGATAAAAATTTTGTTGAACGTTTAGAACAAATACAATTAGCTGAAGCGTATGTTAAAAAAAAACAAAAGATAAAATTTGTTTTTTTGTTCGTATTTTTCATTTAATATTATTTTTCTTGTTCAGATTGACACAAGAACGAGAAACATATTTGAGAAATAAACGTCTTCATCAAGAAGAAATGAAAAATGCTTTAGATAATCAAGTAAAATTTGTTTTTTTTTTTCTTCTTTTTCGACTTATATTTTTGTTTTTGTTTAAAAAATAGGTTCGAAATAAACCAAGTGGAATTCCTTCTGCTGAAATTGCTACACCTTATTTCGGTGTCAATGATATGTCAACAGATAAATTACAAGAACGTCGTTTACAAGCAATGGAAATCTTCCGACAACAAAAAGAAGTTGTTGAACAACGACAACGACAACAATTACTTAAACAAATGCGTGAACAAGAATATGAATCACGAGCATTGGATGATATGAAAGAAGAGTATAGTTCATTTTTTTTTTGCTTTATTTATATTTTCTTCAATGATTATATTTTTTATTTTCATTTAGCTTTTTCTCTGATCGTCGTGAACGATTTCGTCGTGCATATACAATACGTAAAGATCTTGAAACAGATTGGTCAAGTGCTTTGGATGCAAAACGTAAACGTGATCAAGATGAAAGAACACATAAATATGCACCACAAGGTGTTCTTGTACATGAACAATGTGATCAATATAAACGTTGTGCTCAATGTCAACGTAATTTAAATAATTATGGTACTTCAAATATATGGAAAGATACACGATATATACCTGGAACACGTATCATGGTCTAAAGAGATATGAACTTGAACAATTTTTATTTTTTATTTTTTGAAATTTAAATGGAACTTATTTAGAAAATAATTTATCCGGTTATCCTAATTAACAAAAGAAACTCGAACATTTCGTTATTTTAAAATGGGATATTTTTATGTACTTTTCTTCTTCTTCTTCTTCTTCTTCTTCTTCTTCTTCTTCATCATCATCATCATAATTCTGATAAATAAAATGATATCGAAAAAAAATTCGAGAACATAATTATTATATATATTATTTATTATATATATTATAGGAGAGTCAATATATGTTATGTTGAATTTTTCTTTCGTTGTGAACATTATTATCATAATAAAATCAACTGCATTGATTTTTATGCATACATACCTTACGTTATCTGTATATGAAATATGTTCATATCTACACGCTTTTATTCGTACATTACACTTTGCCTTTCATTCTTACGTAAATTCAATATATTCAGAAGAAAAAAAGAGCAAGCAATAATGGATCAACGAAAATTTAATTGAACATTCGATATAAACATCAATTGAACATGCAATAAGTATTCGATACATTTCTATAAAAGAATGAATGACAATAATATTTTGAACGAATAACGACGGCAAGCAGCTCAATGGGTAATTAACATATTGTATATTGTCTCGATTTTTATTCAAGTTGTCTCGAGATAGGGACAGACATGCGACAGCACTATTTCGTTGAGAAAAAAAACTCAGCCTTGACCTTGACACGACAAAGTGTAAGACAAATCGTTCATGCTCGACCAATTAACACATTATTGAAGGTATGAATAGGAAAGAAAAGGGAAAACGTGAACATATGTGTTTAGAAGTACGTAAGAAAAAATGAAATGAGAAGAGAGAAGGGCACAAGCACATTTGATTATACATAGACATGTCTGCTCTTTTGTGCATCATTATATAACAGAGAGAGAGACCTAGTAATCAAATTATGAGAGTTGCTTGTGCTTTTCGTCCATTTCCAGCCAACTACAAACCAACATGTGATGCTAGTAAGAATATTCAATTGTCAAAGTCAAGTCTAAACAACAAATAAATTTCGATGATTTATTTTATTTTATTTTAGCTTTACCTGGTACACCCACTCCGAATTATCCTTTACGTACATCATCATCAATTCCATTTACTCATACACAACAACGACAATCAACTATAATACATGTTAATGGTATTCCATATATAGTTATTCGTTTAATTGGTGAAGGACTTCATAGTCGAGTTTATGCAGCATATGATCCTCGAATAAATCAATCCGTAGCAATAAAAGTAGTTCAAAATATTGATCCAATTGATAGGCATGAACATTCAAAAATGTTTTTCAAAGAAATACGTTATTTAACAAAATTACAATCACGTAATCCATATGTTATTCGAGTTTATAATCATGAATATGATAGTAAAACACAAACGGGTAAAATTGTTATGGAAACTGGCCATGATTTTCGTTTTATGTTACCATTACAAGCATCACCAAAAGAAAAAAAAATGACAATACCACAAGCAAAATTTTATTGGTCTCAAATGGTTGAAGCTGTTGCAATACTACATCGAAATGGAATTGTTCATTCAGGTAGAAAATATAATTAGAATTAATTATCATTGTTTATACAAAATTTTTTAATTAGATATTAAACCAGAAAATTTTATTTTGACACCTGGTGGACAACTTCGTATTATTGATTTAGGTCTTTCTTTTCGTATGTCAAAAACAGAAACATCAGTATTAAGACCATTTGCAGGTGGAAATATTTGAATTTTCTTTTTTTGTAATTTTAAACTATAAGAAAATATTTAAGGTACACCTGAATATATGCCACCAGAAGTATGTCAAATTCAAAATGGTCATTATTCTCGTCAAGGACGAGCATCAGATATTTGGGCATTAGGTTAGTTTTTATTTTCATTTTTTTTTAAATCTTTTTTATTTCTATCATAGGTGTTCTTCTTTTCGAAATGGTCTTTGGCTATCGACCATTTGAACATGTTAAGGATAATTTTGACAAAATGTCTCATATTTCCCGATTAATCGAAAATCCAGTCATTCCACCAACAAATAATCCACATCTACGTGATATTCTTCAACAATGTTTACAAATAAATCTAGATCGACGTCCTAGTGCTCAACAAATTTTACAACATTCTTTTTTTAATTTTGAAACTAATTTATAAAAAGTATTAATTGAATCCTGTTTCATTGTTGTTCTTTTTTTTCTTATTTTACATTAAATAGATTAATTTCTATCACTCATAGAGATTTTTTTATGTCTTTTCGAATATATTCCAGTTTAGTTTATCATTTATAATAGGCTGCCCACAAGAAGTCTATTCACCATCACTATATTCATAGAGTTCTTTATTAGGTACTACAAAAAAAGAAGAAACTGTATTTGTTCAGAAATGAGAATAGAAAGTATACGCCAATAAAAGAAAATAAAAGATAAAAAAGGTATCTGATCGCAAGTCAAAACAAGAAACAAGGATGCTACACAGCGGATAAATAGAAGTTCAAGTCGACGTTGTATTTTCTATTATATAGGCTTCTCAATTATCATGGTCTTTGTTGTTGTTGCTGATAAACAAGTATATAAGCTGCTTGAATTGGTGAAAGCTGAGCACGGGGAAAGATGAGCACAGAAAGATATGTACGGAAAGTTGAGCACTGGAATAATGAGCACCGATAAAATGAGTACAGGAAAGTTAAGCACGAAAGAAAAAATAAACTTATATAGATACAATATATTGACTGATTAATAAATTTCTTTACATTCTATGACAAAAAATAATAAACAAATAATTATAATGAAATATTATTAGCAATTGAGTCGAGCTGAGTTAGAATATCTTGATGAGGATTTGAAATTAGATGTAATAGTCGTTTTTCAAAACGTTCATTCTTTTTCTTGCTTTTTGGTACTTGTCCAGATTTTATATGAACTACATCAGCATGTGTAACATATTGTTCATCAATAAGTTTTTGAAGAAAAACCCACAGTGTTGGATGAGAACATTGAAATATTGAATTAATTCGACGATGATAGGCCTCTGTTGAGTTATTCGTTCTCATTAATGATTGAGTTGTTCTATGGAACATATTCCAGAAGTCAATGGTAAATAATGGCTTTCTTCGTGTGTGATTAGCGCCTAATCGTCCTGCAAATGTTACATAAAAGACTTTCAGTAGAGGATATCCAATCACTTACCAATATAGGTTTCTTCAAAATAATCAAGAACAGTTTGATATTCATCGTCAAGATCCATTGATAAATCTTCAAAACCCTTCACAACATCATCTGGTTTTAGAAAAGCTCATGCAGCTATTTTATGTATATTATGTGAGAATTCCGGTTCATTTTCATAAGATCTTGGCTGAAATACATGTGGTACAAAAATTATCAATGGAGTTCCTATATGGATGTCTCTAAAGATTTCTGAAATAGTCTTTTCGAGGTAAAATTTGACGCTAAATCTGAATATGAAGTCAGATTTTCTCTACAGACACGAGAGTCTAAGTTAAACATTAATGTTTTATTCAAAAAAATGTGCAAACTAATCGCCCTCACAAAGACCCTTCAAGGAAGATCGTGTTTTCTTGAATCATTTAGCACGATCTAGTTCCGAGCAAAGGAAAATTAATCTTTAGTAGATATTACTAAATCAAGATCTTGGATAAAAAACATTGAATTCTCGTATCTGATTGTATCATATAAATCTGTACCCAAGATCTAATTACAGATATTGATGCAAGATAATATAATTATCTTGTACTTAAATTTTGCCAAGATCTGTTCACTTTTCTGTACCTTGTATCTTGGCTAAGATCTTGCTTACAAGATGTTCGACTAGGGCTATTCGAATAATGAAAAACAGGGTATACAAGCTAGATATCCGATGGTATCTGTGACAAACGTACTCTAAACCACATGTATACTATGCTAAGAATTTTTTACTTCATCAAATAATATCTAGTAGTAGATTCTTCGGTTGATTTTATATAGTACATTACTGAACTCTTAAGTTATTCTATGTACTTCACCTTATATGTTCTATATATTCTTACCATATATATGGTCCAGTTAGTAGAAAAAATAGTACACTAGTCAAATTTACTATACTAAATAGTAGAATTAATTACTTATGTAACCATATAGAATTAATAGGAGTTGCCTTATAATTTTCAAATGGAGTAGATTTTGGTTACAAATTTACCGCTGCTCTTTAAGCTTTTTAAAAGAAAAAATTATTTCTTTTTATTGCAAATATAAACAAATTCATTGCCAAAATTCTTCTCCATAATACTTCTCAACAGTCTGTAGATGGAAACAATTTTATGAATAATGTGATTTAAATCTCGTTGCAAGTGTTGTTCCTCTATTTTACTAAAGATTTAATATTATTATTATTTTCATCATCTCTGAGCGACAACTATTAATCGATTTAAGAATCAACTATAAACAATCGAATAGTTCATAACGATTTCTATACTGACTGCTAAACAAGCATCATCACTTCGTTCAATTTTAAACAGAAGAAAGACTTGGATCTTTTGATATGAAAATCATCATTTACAAAGTCTTGTACATAGTTTCCTTATGAACAAAAATAGAGAAGAGTATGTTTTTGTACCAAATAACTTTCAAAAAATCAGGTCATTTTCTTGCTAAATAATTTGGCATTGGACAGATGAATCGATGCAACTTGTAATGAGACATTAATTGTAATAGTAGTCATAGATCCTTCAAATTTTCTTTTGAAAATACAATTCATTCTTTTGTATTTGTATAAAAGCGAAATATCTTTTACTTGTTATTAGCATTGTCATGTCGTATTGAAGAACTTAAAAAGTCAAAATAATTGCATTAAAATGACGAAACAGACATTTTTATCGATTTAATTCCTCGATTTTGGTAAAAAAATCATTTTCATTGCATTTGCTTCATTAAAACCTTCATTCTAATCAGTGAAATTGAAATACATTAATTTTTTTTTGTCCGTTTCGCTATCCGAAATGCCATGTTATTCGGGTAAAATTGAAGAAAGCCATGAATTTTTTTCCTTTTTTTTTTGTAATTCTACGGGTATCAGATGATTATTAGTGCAACGAGATGTTAATTTTCGTTGATGCTATTTCAATTTTTCAAAATACACTGTTTTACAAACAAAAGGAATCCCTAAAAGAACGCAAAAGATCAATATTGTATGAAGAAGAAATTCGAATGAATATACCTTTGAAAAATTATTAATTTTACTTTAGAACATAAATCAAATACATCTATTTCATTCTCATAATATGAATAGAAGTTATATGCTGTTTATGAATATAATCATTTTTTTAAATAAAACAATTATTCAAAAACATTTTTTCTATTGACCGATTTTCTGTTGGATTTATGCATCGAATTAACCCAAGTCCAATCCAAATTATTAAATTACATCTATCACACCGAAACATAAAATAATTTCTTCAATATTGATATTAAACATTATACTTCGTAATGATGTTTACATCGTTCAGTTGATATATCAAAATAACTAATTTTATTAAATGGCAAAAATTCAGTAAATTCGCCATTTATTGCTACAGAATCAACGTTAGTTATATCATGTAAAATTTCAGATAAAACATTGCAGAAATCTCTATCAGTATTATTTAATCATATAGGTGCTTCAATATTAAAGCTTCTCACTATCACTATTAATATCCATGATTTGATTAAACAAAATGATATCCGATGTAAAAAGATTTCAAAATAATATCGAATATGTTATACTTATACTAGAGAAAAAAATTTTTATTCATAATTTTTATGAAACGATTGAAATTACATAAAATGTACACACGATGATTTATTATTGATTTTGTATCATATGATTTGCTTTATAAAGTTTCAAACCAAACATTCGTTCTCGTTAGTAAAATTTGCATTTATATTATATCAAATAGTCTGCATGAATAATTGATAATTGGAATTTTTCGTTATTAAAAATAAATAAATGTAGGTGTTTCCAATCAGTTGACTTGTTTATCTTGATACAGAAAAAAAAACAAGTTCGATCAAGCGTAAACAACATATGTTTACAGATGATTGTATATTTATCTCATATAGTTAACAACAAAAACATTAAATAATGGATAAAGATGGTATGTACATTCTCACAGCAAACAAAAAAATTCTATTTAGTTTTTCAACTAGGAAAACATTCGAACGAAGACAATATAATGCCAGTAATGGATGGCGATAATAAAAATATGTTAGATGCTATCTATGCAAATATGGAACCACCGTCAATGTCCACAAATAATTCTACAGATCAAGATCAATCAACATGTGAAACAAGATGATCAATAAATTTTTTCTTTCTTTTATTGAAATGTTTACATATATTTTAAATTAAAATTGGCAAACAAAATAAAAACAAAAGAATTTTATTTTCGTCATTTTTTTTTTCTCTCATTATATACGAAAGACATGTTCATCTTGTTGAGATGATGTATTTGATGTTGATGAAGGTGGACGATCAACATTAAGTACAAGATCTGTACAACTATCAATAACAGGTAATTCTTGTAAATCAGCTGCTGTTTGTGATGAATTATCATTTTGATTTGGTGTAAATGATGGTGAACGACGTGAATATGTATTATTTCCTTTATCAGTAGTTTGAACAAATGAATGAACTGTTGATGATGATATTGATGCTGTATCATCAATAATAACATCTTCAAGATTAGCAATAGAATTATCTCGTTGTTTACTTGCAAATCGAAGAAAAACCTATAAAAAATATATATATATATATATATATAAACAAAAGTTGTTAGCACAACTCCTCAAGGATTAAAATGTGAAACATGATGTAGCTGCTGTTGCTAATCACGAAGAGATTGCTTTATTCTACAGGATGGATCATAAAAAACTTCTCTTTTGGTAATATTTTTTCTGCATTTTTAGCATGTAGTTTTTGATTGAATTCTTATTGCAAAAGATAGAATTGATGAAAAACTACTAGACAGAGATATTTTTATTTTGAAAACGTTTCATTATTGTCTAAGAGATAAAGGAAATTCATTAAATATAAAATCTATTCTGAAACGATATATCCTCGTCAAGAGGCAATAGCTGTAGAACTAGGGTGAATAAATTCCAATGATGAAATAACCACCTTAGTATGGTACATTGAATTATGAAAGAATATGTAGCACTACTATTACATGAACATTTTAATAAATGTAGCAAACTAGCAATTATTCAAACTAATTTATATGTTTACTTAAGGGACGCCCTCAGAGAATGCTTTTCTTTTGAATAAAAACACCGACGTTGAGTTTTTATCATAAAAAGATGCAGCAAAATCTTCTCTCTTAGAATATATATGACTTTTCGAAAAAAAAGACCAAATTTTAACAGACTTTCAAAAGATATTTCGAACCTATCACCGTGTTTTTCGAGAAATTTTAGTGGTTTTTGCTACAACTTTTTAGTTTTGGGAAAGTTGCCTTTTTATTTACATCAGCATTGAATAAATATTTATATATAATTTAAGTACGACAGATGATACTAGCTGACGTCATCTGTTGTGTGCTTTAAAAATTCCATTTGAATATATTATGAATATATTTTTGTTGCTAGATTTGAATGACGAAATTCATATCTAAAGTTATTTACTATTTTTCTCAGAACATGGCTTTCAATAAGAAAAATTGAAACTTCTCCCATCCCGTTCAACATACAACCAATTTTTTTAAAAGGTCAAAATGAGAGTAAACTTTTACCGAACCGGATGTTTTACAGTTGTTTCTCTATTGAGAAAACTAAAATTTAGTATCATTTTTTTTGTTTATTTTAACACTATATGTGCTAAAATGATCATAGAAAATGAATGGAAGCAAATAAAGGCTATAAATAAGCTAGAACTTTACTCTAGTTTGATGTATCAATCTGAAATTTTTACCAGAAGTGTTTCTCACTAGGGCGACTCATGCCTGAAAATTTCAGATCATTATATTGTTTCGTTATCGAATTATTCTATTGTTACAAACAGACGGAAAAATAGCAAGGATAGTTTTTCTTTCGGAGCAAAGTTCATTTTTAATAAATTTCTATTTCGTTCCCATCTACAATGGAATGTTTTCATCGTGAAATCAATCGTATTTGGCATCCCTATTTAACATTGTCTGTCACGGTCTATGTGGAAGCGGGAATCAAATTTTTTAACTCTATACTTCAACATTTGTTTTAAATCGTGTTTTACAAAATAAG